AAGAAGTTCAAACTGTTTAATCAAAGCGCCCGTAGGCCAAGGATGGGTCTCATTGTCATTGATATCTGTTTTACTTGCATCCAACTTTTTATGTACACTACTCATGCTGCTTACAAGATCTCATTGTTCATTGGTCATAGCTCATTTTGAATGCCCATGCTCATTAACCTCATGATCTCATTCTGTACACATCCTTGAGATTAATTGTTGCAGGGGTTTCCGCACAAGTGATCAAAGTTCTCTATGGACCACTAACAGTGTTTCTTGTACTTTTACAGTGGAATTGAACGATACTAGCATATCATGGGTGATGTTGAGTCTCTTAACCATCTACCATCTGTTTTTCACTTCCACGGCTTCTCCCTCAGTTCTTTGAAGTCCGGGCATTTGGAAAAGGCTACCTCAGAGGCACCAACCAGGCCATCCTTTATGATTTCATTCTTCTCTGGTTTGGTTTCCATACTCTTGAGAGTGAATGCCACCAGTGAGTGCTCATAAGAAAGAAAATGTTAAAAATAATAAAAAAAGGGACTGATTGATTGAGGGGGAGCCTCCGCTTTTACTCAACAAATACCCCGTGATTCCTAGTGGTTTGACTTTTCTCTGTATTGTTGAGTTACTCTTGATGGAGGTCCAGCCATCCGATCGCTACTAGGATTAACTCTAGCTCAGTGACCTCTCATGGATTGCACACACACACTTTCTTTTGTGAGCCCTCATGTTGGATTTTGAGTTGTACATTCTCATGTAGCTTATGATCATTGATTATATTTTATCTGCCTTGCTCATGATTTCCAGTGTCAATTTTTTAAAAAAAAATTGCAAGTTTACGGAATTCATGAATTGCGGATTATTTCATCTTCATCGTCAATTTTGGCTAAATGTGATCATCTACTTTTGTCCCAGGTTTCTTCTAGATATTGAGTTTCTTGTTTTATTTTATTTTTTTTTATTTTTTTTTTTTTCGCTCGAGCGGATATTTCCACGCTCGAGCGTGTTTTTGCGCCTTGCAGTAGTTTGCTCTTTGCTTTACAGTTCTGAGAGAGGTATTTTTGCGCTCGAGCGTCCTTATTCGAGCTCGAGCGGGTGTCAGCTTTCCCTGATTCACGCTCGAGCGTTCATACGTATAAAACTCCCTCCCTCGACTCTTCAGGTCATTTTTTTCCCCTCTTCTTCAGTTTCTCAGACCTAGGGTTTGGCTCGTGGGCTCTGTGTGCTCGTTTTCACCTACCTTCTTCCTCTTCCTTGCCGATTTACACTTTGGTAAGTGTTTCCCTCTCTTCTTGCTTGTAATTTCGGCACATTTGGGGGTTGTATTTCGGGTTTTTGGGGTTTTTTGTGTTTCATTTTTTTTCCCTTTCTCTCCCACTCTTTCACTGAGTCGTTTTGTCTTCCTCATATTGCATTTCTTGTTTGTGTGTATGGAATCTGTGTTGTCCATTCCACCTAGGGTTTTGTGTTCCACATGCTTGAGGTATTTGTGTTTGTGCTACAAATTTGAGCCACTGTTTTGACTACATGATGGTGCAGTGTTTCCATAGGAGTTCTCTTGGTTTTTATATCCGTGATTAGCTTCACTAGGTCATTGATATTCTGCCATTGCCCTTATGCACATTTTTGTATTCTGCATTTCATTGATATTTGACCTCCATGTTTATGAAATGATATCATTGATATTTGTCCTTCATGATTATGCATTATGCGTTTAATGTTACTATTGTTCTCTGTATTGTGCCTATTTTGCTCTTCGGGTTTGGTTTCTTTTTGGCTTTATTGGGTTTTCGGGTTTTAGTCATCTCTCATCTCATCATGTCCGCCCCTAAACGCCGAAAGGCGACAGTGTCTCGTCCTACCTTTAATTCTGAGAGGTTTCAGACTGCTAAGCAAGACAAAATGTTCCATAAATCTTTTGAGGCTCGCACTGTTCACCTAGAACGGACTGTCCAGCCTAACACTTTCGAGTTCATCCCTATCCGTCCATTGTTTGATCCTTTAGGTGGTGATTTGGTGTTGTCTTTTTCTGGGCGTCAAAATCTCGACTGGGTCCGAGAATTTTACTGCAATATTGAGCAAATTAGTGACTTTGAGCCTTCATTCACTACTTGGGTTCGGTCCAAATCCATTTCAGTCACACCTGCTCTCATTCGCCATCTTCTTAAGATTGATCAAGTGTACCCTCAACACTATCATTTTCCTATTCCAGGCCGTCCTACCTGTGATTTCAATAATGTGACTAAGGTGTTATGTGGTACTTCTCGTCCTTGGCCTACGGGCGCTTTGATTAAACAATTTGAACTTCTTCCGGAGTTTAGACTGCTTAATCTGATTGTTTGTACAAACATCCCTGTGACCACTCACTCCTCCGAAATTAATCAAGACCAAGGTTTTGTTTTGTTTTGTATCGCCCGTCACATGTCTATTGATCTAGCTACCCTGATTATTAGAAAAATGATAGGTGTTTCTGGGAATAAACAGTTAGGACTTCCTTATAGTTGTTTGATCAACCGTCTGTTGTCTGAGCTTGGGGTTTGAGTGTTAGAGGATGATGAGTTTGCCTTCCCCTCCCGACCATTCACAAAGAAAACTGTTTCTTAGAGTCGGGCTCATGTTAAGGGGGAGTCTTCTCGGGCTGCTATTT